GGGTCCATACAAACCGTTGCTAGGGTCGTTGTCATGGACAAATACATGTGGCTAGGTTTCGCTACGAAAACCCGACCGTTCAAAAATCGGGAGTAGGGTTTAAACTTCTAAAAATAACAGATATAGAAAGCTTGAAGGCCATATATGTTTCGACAGAAGTGTGCCGGTAATCGCTTGTTTCTGAAATATTTACGACTGCAACTTCCGGGCCTCAAGATGCCTGCAGCAGACGACGAATGCAAGTAGTATGCTGTCTGCCACACGCCCGCCGGCCAAGCCGGCGCCGGCGTCTGAATCGTGTGAATAAAGACGATATTCTGATATTGCATTTGCTTAAAATATAATGAGTTTCAGACACTTATAAGAATTTATAGTGGGGTGCGATGCAAAATATGGTTTATCAAAAGTCTGGGCGTCGATCGAGATGATCGTCTGCTAAAAGATCGCATTGCACCCGTGAGAAAAGCACTTCAGGCGATCGGTAGAGATCCCAAATTTGTTTGCGGACTCGCGCTATGGGAGGGCGCGTGGTACCTGGTTGAAACCATCGCGTGGAGAAAGATTCTTGCAGTTTCTTAAGATTTCCGCAAAACGCGAAAGAACTGGATAAAAACATAAGGTGAGTTCATTACAGATTGTACTCCGCGGGTTCAATGCAGATCTTCATCGAAAGAGCACATCCACAAAATTTAATGTACAAAAAAAAAAAAAAAGCAAAGTACTGCGAATTTGCGGTAGACATGCAATTCTTTAATAACCAGACAACCTCAATAACAATAATAATAAATGACTTACCCCGACGGCGTACGATTTGTTTCTCGTGCTGGCCTGCACTACGCCGGTAATGCACTGCAGGTCGTCGTCGTAAATGATCTGCCTGACGTGGTTTGATTTTTTGGCATTTTCACCCCTCTGAACTAAGCTGGGTTCTTCACAGAAAAAAACCGCACATTGCGGAGGCCTCTATACGGCCACGGCAATGCACTTCTTTTCGTCGCTTGTTTACCGACGAGTCAACCGCTGCAACAGAGGCCAGCAAATCTATTGTGTCGTCTGCTACCAAGGCAAAGCGGAGTATAATACTTCAGAAATGGCTTTCATTGTTGCAATACGACACTGAGACGACAATAACATCTTCATAATTATATATTAAGAAGTTAGGTTGCTTACAAAAATGTTTTTACTTATAAGCTAAAATCTAGGCTCATGTGGAGTCTCCATGCATTAGCCCATAGCAACGTCCCTAGCAATGGTTTGGACCCAGACGCCATGTTATGACGTCATCACTTACGGGGTCAATATTGTTTTTATACAACCATGCCTCAGCGGTGCTTTCAGGTAGCGCGTCCCGACCTAGGCGCATGGGAGACGGGGGTGGCACCCCTGAAACTCCTTCCACCGTATGTTTCGGCGCCAAAATGGCCGATTAAAGCCAAAATAGAAGTCACGTGCAGTTCCTCGGGTGGCCGCTGCGGGAGAAATGGTGGCGCTCTGATCGCCATTAGTTCAGTCCTTGATCGGTGCCACTTTTTCAGAGCAGTCTCTATGGCAGTTTCCCAACTGAGTGGTTTTGGTAACGTTGGGTCCGGCATAAGGTGGTCCCATTCCCTTTTCACACTTTTAACACAAAGATTGACGAAAGTGCGGCTGTAGTTCGACTACTGTCTACATTGTCAGCATGTGAGGAAATTGCGAACGATCTGACACCACCTGGCGGAGGGGTGTATGCCTATATTGCTTCACATTATTAAGCTATCAAAAGTGCAAAGGTTTGACTTCATATTGCGTGAACGTTGGTAATAATTTTATAACAGATACAATAAATTACTTCATGTATCTGTTTTCCCCTAAAATTCTAAAGTTTTGTGTAGAAGTCGGTCAACACCGTTTGCTGATGGCAGAATGGAGGAGAAAAGGATTACAGCGGAAAAGAGGAGGTTGGAAGATGCGCGGAAATTATCCCGGGAAAATTGAATGAAGTAAAACGGGAGAGGCGGGATTGGGGAAAATTGGAACTCGCTCCCGTTGGGCTTCGGCCCAAACTCTCAACCCTGTTTCCCAGTGGGCCCAGTGTTGGGGTTGTGACGACTAGGTTTGACCGGAGGAAAACTCCCCCGCCCGGGGGAAGAAAAAAAAAAAAATGTTTTTCGTGTTTTTCTTTTTGTCCGATTTTTTAATGGTCATCCTTGCGATATCCCACACTGTTTAATGATAATTGCCAAAATGCAGCGAAGAAATAAATTGGCTTAGACGGCGAAGGGAGGAACCTATACTTTTGTTTGGTTGGAAATGTCTTTATTGGTCAGAAGCGCAAAAAAGCGACTCAGTCAGTCTTGGCTGGTGCAATATATGACGGGGGGAGGAGGAGGAGGAGGAGGAGGTGGAGGTGGAGGTGGAGGTGGAGGTGGAGGTGGAGGTGGAGGTGGAGGAGGAGGAGGAGGAGGGGGAATTTAGATGCAATGAATACGATTAACCTCTTTCACAAAGTGAGAAAAAAGGAGTTAGAAAATCTCTTTCCGATGCTTGGGTGATCCGGATGGTCTCGTCCATTCCTCCAAGCTCTAAGGTCTTCGATCTTTGGGGATGTTCAGAAGGATCTCTTCTTTTTTTATGGAGATATATTCACTTTTTTTTTTCTAGGCTCGGTGGCACCCGTTATAAAAGGTACAGCCATTGGCATCCGTCCATCCATTCGTCGAATTTTGCTAGAAGGTCGAAGGTTCGCCGAATTGGTCGAAGGTTCGCCGAATTGGTCGAAGGTTCGCCGAATTGGTCGAAGGTTCGCCGAATTGGTCGAAGGTTCGCCGAATTGGTCGAAGGTTCGCCGAATTGGTCGAAGGTTCGCCGAATTGGTCGAAGGTTCGCCGAAATAGTCGAAGGTTCGCCGAAATAGTCGAAGGTTCGCCGAAATAGTCGAAGGTTCGCCGAAATAGTCGAAGGTTCGCCGAAATAGTCGAAGGTTCGCCGATATAGTCGAAGGTTCGCCGAAATAGTCGAAGGTTCGCCGAAATAGTCGAAGGTTCGCCGAAATAGTCGAAGGTTCGCCGACCTAGTCGAAGGTTCGCCGACCTAGTCGAAGGTTCGTCGACCTAGTCGAAGGTTCGTCGACCTAGTCGAAGGTTCGTCGACCTAGTCGAAGGTTCGTCGACCTAGTCGAAGGTTCGTCGACCTAGTCGAGTTCGACCTGGTTCGACTAAAATTCGCGACATCTCTAATTTGAAGGGTCAACAGCATCACGTGCATATTTATTAGAGCAATGGAATCGAATTCGAATCGAATAGCGCCGATTATTGGCCGAAAAGCCGAATGTTCGATATTCAAACCGAATATAGAATAGCATTTTTTTAGTTCCAAAACTGATAGTGTTGGTATCAGTATTACAAAGTCCACAATTACTGATATTTGATGAATCAAAATATTTGGAAACTCGAATACTAGAAATCCGAAACTCGAAATATGCGCACACCCTATAATTCTTGTAGGACATAACCGGGAGACTCTTTGGTAGTTTCTGGAAATGTTGCATCTTAACCTAATCATCTCAAATTGCAATGTATATACATATATATTTTCCCCGCCATTTCTAGAAATACAATTTTCATTTTCACTCGATTATAAGCTGGCTTTTCAATTCGTTGGCTTTTGCAAAAGGTGTTGTTGCAGAACATTCCGTGCACGCGGAGTGAGCCCTGCCCTCAAACTTCAAAAATCATTAAAAAAAAAGAAAAAAATTCCTAAATCACTTTGGTTATTAAAAAGAATGGGCTCGTGTTTCTGCCGTGCTTCGTGGAAATATGATAGCTTTGTTTGTGTTCTGTGAAGGTTTAGATTCCACTGATTAAATTGCCCCGAACCTTAATAATAGCGGGTCACCTGAGCATGAAATGTCCGTACATTTTCATTTCATGAAAATTGTTCTACTCAGCGCGTCGCCGCCTCTGTTCAGCTATCTCTTGTAGTCTGCCCCTTTGTATACAGGGTATTCCACGTAACTTGAGCCAAGGTTTAAAAAAATATTTTAATGCATTTTAGGAAGACGAAAAGAAAAAAAAAAAGCATATCATTGTTTAGAGCAAGTGAGGCTACTTTGAACTTTGCCCAATGAACTTTTTCAATATTTAATTTAGAGGCAAAGTTTCAATGACAAAATTGTAGAACGTCCTCAGAAACATCCAATTCAGTGTCTTTCATCAAGAAACATCTAACACTATTTGTTTTTCAGGGCTTCAAAAAAAGCTAGCAAATTATAGGTATAGATGTAGATATATAGGTATAGATAGCTATATAGGTATAGATGTAGATATATAGGTATAGATAGCTATATAGGTATAGATGTAGATAGATAGATGTAGATATATAGGTATAGATAGCTATATAGGTATAGATGTAGATAGATAGATGTAGATATATAGGTATAGATAGCTATATAGGTATAGATGTAGATAGATAGATGTAGATATATAGGTATAGATAGCTATATAGGTATAGATGTAGATAGATAGATGTAGATATATAGGTATAGATAGCTATATAGGTATAGATGTAGATAGATAGATGTAGATATATAGGTATAGATAGCTATATAGGTATAGATGTAGATAGATGTAGATATATAGGTATATCTTGCGATGCATTATGACGACTGCGGCGCCAGATTCAGGAAGCGACTCGTCCCGTGCATGCGCGCGAAAAACAGGAAAAGGGCACTTCCATTCCTTTACATGTCCCCAAAAGATTTTTTTTTTTTTTTTTTTTTTGTGCACAGTAGTGGAGCGTCGGCCACGATATGTTGGGGTTCGGTTCTTCTTCGGAAAGTTCGAATTTCTTTTTCTTAATTTGTGCATTTATAATTTTTTCGTGCATGCGCACGCATTTAGTGTTACAGAAAACAATTTTCTAAAAACAGCTACTAAAAAAAAAAATAAGACATGGTAGCGTGCTTGAGGACCGTGATGCCAGTTACGCATCTGTGTGTGATTCCTTTTCCCTCCTCCTCGCAGCAATTCAACAAGGCCGCCGAACAGGTGAAGGAATTGACGGAGCGACCCTCGGACGAGGAGCTGCTCGAGCTGTACGGACTCTTCAAGCAGGCCAACTTCGGCGACAACACCACCAGTGAGCAAACTCCCGACTGTTCTTTCTTCTTTTTTTTTTTTCGGTGGTTAAACGTTCGGTCATTTTACCAGCACCATAGCAAGGCCCCAGTGCTGGATTATCTCGTCACCCGCTGGAGGCCAGTACGGGGTGCAGGTTGGACAAGACGCGGTCGTAAGCGTTCAGACTCGTGTTCAGTCAGTGAGGACACGATTTCCAGCCGAACGCCGACGACGCGGTACCCGTGTTCAATCAGTGTCCCGCGCTGGTCTCCGGTCCCGTAAGTAATGTAGAAAGTGTCGGCCAAAAAAAATTTACAGGGACTTGTTTACCGCAAAAATGAACTATGCATCGCCCAACGCTCATTCTCCACCCGAACGATAGCGCTAGCGGTCCAAACCAAAGTTTCGGAACCAACCGTTATCTTATTCTAAAGTTATGCGATTTTTTTTTTGTTTTGTGAATTTTTTTTTTATGGGAAGATGGCAAGACAACAGAGCTCTCGAATGTGTATGGTGTTGGAAAGCGCCAGTTACCGAGAACGGGCGGAAATGAGCCTAATTTTACCATTGAACGTTCCAGTCAGAAAATCACTTTACATTTTGAATTAAACACCGGTTAGTTAAATTTTGACATATGGTTCGAACCGCTAGCGCATTTAGGTGGTGAATGAACGTTCAGCGATGCGTATAGTTTATTTCTGCGGTAAAGAAAGCGTTGTAAAATTTTTGGGGGCACGCTGTAGAAATCTTAGCACATTGATACTTTAGACCTATGGTGTTTAAAAAAAAAAGTATTTCCAAGCTCCGGTGTAAAAACATCCTTTTCACGTAAGGCTTGTGAAATTGAGGCGCTGGGGAAAATTGGCTTTCTGCGCTAAGTTCTAATTTCGAACTCTTTTTTTTGTTCGCGTTGCGCCTATTGAAAAGCATGCGGGAAGGGCCTCAGCACGCACCTCGTATCGCTGCGTCGCAGTGTTCTTCCGTAGCATAAAGGCAGTCTGCTTTCATCGCTGTCACCGTGAAAACGAACGCTGAATGAATGGAAGCAGGCACGCTACTGCCGCGTGAAGCCAGCAGCGGCTGACGCAGCCGCAGAACCCGCAGGTATCTCTTCAAGCCTGGATGGATGGATGGGTGCAGACGGCTGTACCCTATATAACGGGCGGTAGTTCGCGCCACCTCGCCTAGAAATTAAGAACCAAAAGTGATTTTTTTTTTACTTCACCCGTTAACTGCTCGCGTGACAAAGTGTTGTCAAGGGCAGAAAGCTCGCGCTCGACCTGGATCATCTGCTGGGTTCTTCGAGCCGTAGTCGCACTGCCTATTCGTCATACGAAAGACAACGGTGCTTCGCTAAAGACATGATGACCGAATTAGTATCTGCGGAAACACCTCAAGCTTGTTAGGTTTGCTTCATGCATGTTTCGAACTGCAGACACTTTTTGTATGACCAATGAGACCGTGCTACAAGGAAGGAACATAGACGCTGTTAGGAGAAGAGGGCCGTAGCCAGGAATTTTTGTTACAGGGTGCATTGGATGTCCATCACTTGGTGCGGGGGCCAAAATGCCTGTGTGCATTGCAGTGTTGACTGGATATTTCGGGGGGGGGGGGGGGGGGGGGGGGGGGAGCGCCTACAGGCACCCTGTCTACGCCACTGTCTGCAGACTGTCTCTTGTATGACGTATTAGCAGAGAGATACCGCGGTTTATTATGTTTTCATATTTGTTTGGGACGTGCGTAATGCGAGCTGCTTCGTCGCCTCTAGGTCAGCCGGGCATGTTCGACCCCAAGGGACGGGCCAAGTGGGCCTTCTGGAACAAGAAGAAAGGTGAGCGGTTGTCTACCTTCTTGTTCTTGTCCGTGTCCTTGCGCTGTTTTAATCTTTAATCATGAAATACCAACTAGCCCAAACTTCTACTTTAATCGTCGTCACCGTATCTTGGGGTCACTGAGTGGAAGAGGAAAAAGCCACGGACTTTTGCTCGCCCACTGTGTTTTGCGCGCTGTTGGAAACCCGGCTTCCAGTGGCTGACGAATCAACCTAACAAGCCTGCTTCTTCACCGACATGAATTCACGACCGAATCATTCAAAAACCAGACCTTAACGTAACTTATATAATATTTTTTAAACGGAGCCTTTTTTTTTTAAATTTCTTTGTGCGTTTGTTTGTCCATACATTTACCCACTAAATTTAGCGGGGAAATAGACATAACGTGACGTCACGGTATGAAATTGTGATGTCACGTTGTACTATGCCGTCATGTGGCGTCAATGTTCCTCCTAAAGTTAGCGAGGAAATTAATAAACGTGTTCTTCAATCGCCGAAACGACCGTTGAATGTCTTCCAATTAAGTTTGAATTAATCATGGGAATTTGAGAGTCGCTGGAAATTTTCGTCTTCCACGAGCTCCGGTTTTCTGCGCGTAACTTTCAATAGCTCGCCTGATTTAGATCGAATTAATTCCAACGTTCGTCCCGGAGTGTCGGCTCTATCGGGGGAAACCAACGTTAAAATAGGAAAAAAAGATTTTTTTAGCTTTAAAAGTGGATGTTTGTATAACTTTGGAAAAGCTTAAGTGCATATCAAAGCCTTGCGCGCTTTCCTCTTCCATGCCCGTGTTGTTTAAAATTAAAAAAAAAAAAAAAGAAAAAAAAGGGGGCGGGAATATGCGCGTTAGTCACTGCGTGTTCAAATTCAAGCATTGAATAAATTCTCGCCAGCAGTAGCGAATCCAATATTTAATTTTCTGCACGGATAAATGCAAGAAATATTCTGCTTTTTCCTTGGCCATCTCCCGAGTGCAGTGGAGACAAAGGCAGCTATAGCCTTGGGTCTCCCCACTAATCGCACCAATCAGAGCTCGGCATTCTGACGTCACCGCGCGCTCTCCTCTCCTCCTCTCCCTCGGTTTCTCGAGGCATTGCTTCCGTGCCTCCAGGCTCGTTTTGAAAGTTTCGAATACAGTTTAGTTTCTTGGTCGATTTGCTTTGTTTTATTTCTTTCTTTGAGCGTTAACTCCTTCTCTGTGGTAAACCCCGTATGTTTTATTCAAGTTCCAAGACAGGTTCATGACGTCGGCGTGAAGGTTCCCTTGTTCTCTTTGGTATTTCCATAGCTAATGACGTTCGAGATCTCCGGATACCGCCATCAAGGTCGAAGCGAACGCTCCGATTATAATCGCCGATCTCTTCGACATTCGAATGCACTGAACCCTCTTAGAAATGCTAAACTTGGAACATATAGCTGCGTATAGTATATATAACCTTGCCTTCGAAAGGATGCGCGAAGCTTTGCGTTCGTAATTTTCCTAATGCGATGCGTCGTTGATTTCGCTCTGTTCTCGTGACCAACTTTATATCGAGATTAGTCGGCGGTCCAGGCTGGTACTTAACAGCAGGATGGAGTAGTCAAACCTGTTCGGCGCTTTGTCGGAAAGTTGACGTCGTTGCCTATCGCCATCGGGAAGTTTCGACTTAACCAAGGTCATATAGCAAGTGGCAGGTGACGCTTTACGCGGCACGTAGGCTGCATCTACAATCCGCGCTGTGAGTTTTCTACGGGTTGTTTGACTTGAGGGGATATTTCGTCCATCTATCGGAACCCAGATGCGCGGTCAACTCACAACCGGGGATGAGCTAGAGGATTGAGGAAAGAGATAAAAAACACTTTTTCTGCCGTGTTGTCTAAACAAAAAATAAGCGTCAATCTTCTTTCTTGTTTCTCGGTTAGAATTATAGGTGGGATAATAATAGTGTTAATAGAGGAACGGATTCGCGGAAGTTCCTCTATTTTATGCACACTTGAAGCACGTTTTCCCGTGGTGTTCATCCAGTCAGGTAACGACTCTACGGCACTCAGTTCGGTCCTCTCTTCGCCAGCTGTATGCCGTAGTTGTATGCATCACTGTCGCACTTAAAATGGAGCGAATGCCAAGCCTACTTTGGGAATATTGTTGATATTTTTCTGTGTGCACATAGAATATATTAAAAACAAACTTTTTTAGACACTAGTGCGAAACATTATTTTCCATTAGGGTCGAGTTGGCTGTCTTGTCCATGTTATGCTACATCTCTGCTCTTCGGTTCGTACGTTTAATACACCCGAACATTACGATTAAGCTTTTCCTTAATCAAAATTCCCTCCCGTGCTCTAGTTAAGTGTGAATGTGACTGTAAGTATGCATACTTAGCTGCGTGCAATTTTCCCGGATATTCATTTGTCGTTCCACAGAACGTCGTATACGTGTCCTTGTTCGGTGGCTTTGGACGTTTCTCGCATGTCTGTATAAAACGTTGTTTTGTGCCTGCCGGAAACGGAGACTTTTGTCACACCAGGTCAATCGAGTAATTATACTCGTTTTCATCTAAAAAAACGCAGTAAAAAAAAAGTCCGGCTTTTTGCGTAGAGTTACTAATTTCCTTCTTTATGTGGATAAGTAAGATATATGTAGGTGCATTTTAGATTATGTGTGTTACCTTATCAAGCCGTACACGTTTCAAATACCAACAACATATCGCTTCTTCCTCCGACAACCAAATCTTGTGAAAACTACTACTCGCGGCGTATAAACAGTGCGCAAAACTTTCTTTTTTCTTTTTTTTCTTGAGGTGAAAACGAACTTTTGGAAAGTGTAACTACGGGGTGTCGCAAAGCTGCCGAGGTTCGACCAGCTTCGACTAACTACAAAGTCACAGGTTTGACTGAAGTTCGGCTAAAGTTCGACTGTTGCGCACACACGCGGAAATTGATAACGACGTGGCGACACCTGGCGGTGGTGGTCAACAAACGGATGAAATGATCGGAAGATTGTGTTTCTTTCTGTATTAAAGGTTGGTAATAATTTTCGAGAATGGTGGACTATACTCTATAAGTTATTTTGTTTTCCGAAATTTGAAATTTGTCGCGGATAAATCTGGCAACACTGTTTGAAAATCGAACTTGGCTCTAATTTTGCCAAAAGTTGGAAGGTTCTGCGAACCAGCCGAAACTCGGAATTCGACAATATTTCCTCTTTTTTGTTTTTAATATTGGGTCACGTGCTTACGAGTTACGGGACTTGAAAATCTCCGGGAACCCATTGAGTGGCGAAACTAAAACTCCCTTTTCTTTCTTTCTTTTTTTTTTTTTTCTTTTTATTTAGGTTTGACCCAGGATGCGGCGAAGGAGGAGTACATCAAGTATGTCAAGACGCTCATGGAAAAGCACAAGAAGTAGCACGGACACGTTGGAGTGGGCGAGAGGGAACTATATATATATATATATTGTATCTGTTATAAGCGCACTTTACCTTTTACGTATTATATTTCGTGGTTGGAACGCCCACATTTACGTCGAAACCAAGCTGACAAGTTTGTTGTTTGTTTGTTTTTACACGAAAGAGGAATGCTTACATATCCTCGTGAACCCCTTGTGTGATATGTTCACCTAGCTTTAATCCATTCAGTCGGATTATTGCTAACCCGTCAAGGCAATAACAAGGGGGAAAAAAAAAGCAAGAAAAAAAAATTGCGATACACAATCGTCTTTTTTTTTTTATCACTATGTTACCAATTTTATTTGACCGAATTTATTTTTAGTATAATTGCCAATCAAAGCGATGTTCTCTTGAACAAACAAAAAGAAAAAACGCAAACTTTTGGTGTTCGTGGCCGTCCATCTTGTGAACGATTGAAATACAATAAAAACCACTAGTTGTCATTTTTACGAAAAAAAAAAGCTTTATTTGTTTCACTTGTTCTGTGTGCTTGGATCCATTTGGTCTCAGTAGAGCACACGATTATTTGTTTGTTGTTCGTTTAGGACTCCAGATAGTACATTACTCGTGTAGTAGAATATTACTAGTATATATTACTATGTCACTGGTATAGTACAGTACATGGTTTAAATAGATGGCGTGCCGTCGAACTATGATAGCATGCAGTCGGAGGAAACCGCTAATTGAAATGGCCTTCCTAAAAGTAATTGAGTGTGTGTGTCTCTGCTGTAGATGAGAAATTTGGCCAGTGCAGTACCACCGCGCCTGGGGCTATTAACATGCCTCGCGCTGTATTGGTACACGACCGCCCTCCGGTACGATGCGCATTTATATCAAAACGGGAAAGTCCTTATTGTTCGTTGGAGGTAGCGTGCTTGGTAAAGTGTAAAATGACAAGGGAGGAAGTGGCCAGTGCGCTAACGCGTCTCAGCTCGGAGCGTGGAGCGAAAGCTTGCGCTGGGAACCTCCTGGGTTCGATCTGGATGAGTTTCGTACCGGCACGCGTTCGTGTGATCACTACTGCGTGATGCACGTTAAAAACCCCAGGTTAGCGGTTGTACCGCACTGGCCAAATTTCTCATCTACAGCTAAGAGACCGATTACCCGTTGAGGCGCATCTCCATCAAGGCTGTATAAACATAAAGAGCAAGCCAATTTTTTTTTTTTTTGTAAAATGTAAGTTTCTCTCACCGAGTTTGACGAATTGTCGTAGTTATAAACTGGTCTATATCAGTTTGCCCTATGTGAGGACTTGCCCTGCTACCAATGCCTGCCACACAATTAGGGATCTGACCCAGAGATCGTGGATGGGTTCGGCCCAGCCCTCGTTTCGATCTGGGGCAACTCGTCCTGTTAGTCTATGCCTGTCGGAACGAGGAAAATACCGTGGGGGCCGCCGTCCAAGAGGTTGCGCGCCGCCGCCGCTGCTTGCTTTATGGTGTGGTGCCTGGAACCAGTCTCCGACTGGTGCGTTTACCGCGTCTTAAAAAAGTGGTCCCTCGATTTCTGCCTGGTGACGTCATACAAGTGTCGTGCTGTCGCCGGTCGCGATCCTGGCGGTGTCCCAACAGCGGAGGTGTATGTGGCAGACGCCTGTTCTGTCGCAGGTCTCTCTCCAATGCGGCAGTCCACGGAAGTGTCAGCAGCCAGAAATTGGGACGCCGTGACGACAGCGACACTGGCGTTCGCTCGTGCTTTTCGCCAGCATTTCTACGACCAACCGCCAGGGTCGCGACATGCAACTGCATGACACTCTCCGGCTTTTGTGACGTCATTTGTTGCCACTTCGGGACCAATTTTGATGTATGGGCGAGATAGGATGCTAAACACACCAGTCGGAGACGCGCTCCAGGCACCATACTCGGAAGGCTAACGCCGGTGCTCTGCGCGCGACGCGTCGTCTGCTCTAAACTAGCCAACTCCTTGATCGGGGACACGTGGTTTGCGAGCTGCGCGGACGGTGCCGAAAGCGTTGGTCGTCTGCAAACGGCACTTCCGTCCGCTTCCCTCCTCGCCATCCGACAACTCAACGCATGCGCACTTCTTGACTAAATTCCGCAGGAGGTGTCTGCCATTAGATTGCAAACGCTCCCCATGGTTTGAGGTGGACCCTCTCTTCAATCCCAACGTAGGCAGCGCCGTCTCGCGCCGCACTCGGGTGTTAGAAGAGGAGGAGAAATTAATAAACACGACAAACTCTTGCGAGTACTAATGTTTAAAAAATATTGCCCTTGAGACAATTTTGGTTTACACTCGGCGAGAAAGTGTGCTCAAGCTCTGAGTGGTACAAGCCTATTTGGATGATCTGTAGTATATGGCTTACGCACCTGCGGCTGGGTTTACGATCGTGGAATCGAGCAGGGGACCAATCACACGCGCAATGTCTCCCCCCTACTTCCTCTTCTACCCATTTACTATACCTATCAAAATAGTCAAATTTCGATTTTATGCGCTAAGCTCGCATCCATGTAAACGCAGCGTATGTCTTTGTACCGTCGACATTCTGCAGCAGCGGAGAATTCCTGCACTGAGTTCCAACTGCATGCCGCCTACACGTACGCTGTGCCAATATTGGAAATAGACAGTCCGTCTCGTTCACCCTCAATCATAATGTCGTGAGTATGTTTATACAGCCGGAAGTAAGTCTCAATGGGGTGCCTCAACTGTGGATGAGAAATTTAGCCAGCGCATGTACAGGGTGTCACAAAAGAAAATTTACACGGTCTTTTTCACCGCAAAAATAAACTAGGCATCGCCCAACGCTCATTCTCCGCCCAAAGGTACAGCTAGAGGTCACAACCAGTTGCCAAAGTTTCAGCCCCATCCGATAAGTTAATCAAAAGGTATAAGTGATTTTCTGAAAATTTCAATGGGAAAATGGAGCCCATTTTTGCCCGTTTTCGGTTTCTGGTGCCATAGAGCCCCATGTGTTTGAAAACTCCGTCGGCCGCCATTTTCCCGTTGAAAGTTTCAGAAAATCACTTATAACTTTTGATTAAGTTATCGAATCGGGCTGAAACTTTGGCATCTGGTAGTGACCTCTAGCTCTACCTTTGGGCTGAGAATAAGCGTTCGGCGATGCTTAGTTTATTTTTGCGATAAAAAAGACCGTGTAAATTTTCTTTTGTGACACCCTGTAGTACAACCACTAGTACAACCGCTAGCGGATGAGCATCGACCGCGCGCCGGTACGATGCTCATCCGGATTGAACCCATGCACGGGATCCTGGGTTCTGCAGCACGAGCTTTCGCTCCACGTGCTCCGAGCTGGTGTGCGATAGCCCCAGTGACTACAATAGAGATCAGTGATTCGCCCCCTTTTTTGTTTACAGTGCCCCTGCACACTTGAGAGTGCACTAAGTCTGCCAGTGCTATAGACCTTTCCAAAGAAGGGTTCCTGCCCGGTTCCATTTTCAGTGTTCGTGCGTATGGCGCGTGATTTGCTCGCTTTTCGAAGCGACGAACATGCACGTGCGGGGCTCGCACGCTGGGCTGACGAATGCACCTTTAAAGGCCGGTTCTCACATGCAGCGAAGCGCTGATGTAGCGCTCCTCACGTGCCGTCAGCTACTTATCGTCTGCCATGAGCAACAGTTTTGACGGTGCGACACAAAGCTGGTGAACGCTCCCATCAGCACGCGCTTAGCGCGAGGAGCGCTATGCTTGTAGCGCTCCGCTGCATGTGGGAACAGGCCTTTACTAAAGTACCCAAGCATCACAAAGAACGCTGGGAACGTAGGTACGCGCGCTATACGCGTTCGCCTTATCTGTATTGAATATTCGAAGTAAACAACCAAATTAAGACGTTGATGAACGCGCGTGCAAAGTGTCATTTGTTCGGGATTGTTACTTAACAGTTACCGCTGTAGAAGGCAGTATACTCTCGCGCACGCTCCCTAAGCTTGGGAAATTTAGCAAAAAAAAATATATTGTAGATATTGTAATGGTGTATAATTGGCCATTTCCAGAAGATGCCATGTGTATTTGATTTCGCAAATACTGCGAAACCCGCCGTCTACTCAAGAACCGGAAGTTTGCGCGCTGGCGCCCCCCGTTTCAACTTACGCGAGAAATAGCGAATATGATAGAAATAACGGAGAACATGCAGGCGAGCTGCCGAACTTTTTAACATCCTGTCGGGCTCTCAAGATGTATGAGCACCTGGGTCGAAGAGGACGTTCACTATTCGGGGAACGCTTCACAAGGCGAGATATCGCGGCTGTGTAGATAATCGTTCCTCGAGCATATATGTGGGAGAGGGATATGCGAGGCGCGTGGATATAGTATTCCAGGAAGTACGTAAACAGAGCCAAGAAATGCTACACGGGAAAGTTCCTGCAAGGGGCTGATGGTAGAGCTCTATCCGAGCGCACTTACCGCCAAGGTCAGACCATCCAGGATAAAAAGAGTGTCTGGCGTTTATTCGAGCAAAATAGAGAAGAAAAAAAACAACGAAACAACGGCATTTATCTCGCGCAGCACGACATGTGAAAGGAATCGATCCCGTGGACGCGGAGGGCTTATTGCGTCCTTTTAGACGGACAACACGGGACCATTCGGGGATTTGTATGTCACTGGTTACCATAGGCGCCTAATGCTGTTCCGTCTCGCCGCCTGTGGTAACAAGGAGTGTGTAGGTATTAAATTCGCAAATAATACGTTTGAAATTGTGAAGGCAGACTGGGAGCGTGCTGTTAGCTGCTTTTTGGGTTTCTTTGGTTTTGCGAATCTCTAGAGCCGCCGCTTTTGATTGTGTTGGTCGTGTGGGTGACACTGTATTTGCCGACTCTTGCTACAGATATTGAACGCATTGAATCTTGGTTCCAAATCGTCGGTGCGTTTCCCACTTGGATTTGGATAGTAATTTGGACGGCATTGCGCGATGTGTGTGTCACCTATACAGACCACTTGGCTCACGTTTAACTCAGTTGCTTCAGCTTGTCCAGCGGACATTGTACAGGGAAACCCTCCAAATTTGAAGATCCGACGTGCGTGATACTGTATTGCAATCCATGTGTTGCTACCAGTTGGATTTGAAGTCTTCCAGGCAGTTGCTCGCTGTTTTTGGATACCATGCCACTTTCATCGATCTAATCCATATAAGGATAACCATTTCTACACTTAGGAGCAGCTACAGCGTGGCGTCTTGATTCCAGTGGCCCTTCGTTTGGCGATAGCAGTGGCTAGGTAACCTTTTTTTTTTTTTTCACAGCTGCTGCAGGCAGGACATTAGCGCAGGACATCACAAACGTGCAAAAACGTGACGCAGAAATCGCAGCCCTATTTTCTGTACCACTTTGCGGTAGAGGCGTAGAAGCGGGCCCTTCAAGGATTCTAAGGAAGAGTGAGGCGACCTCGGCCGTCGAAGCCGGCCCTCTGGCTTCCGTTACGAACTGTAAAACCTTCCACGTTGGCGCTCAGCCTCTTCTGGCCCATCCTGACAAAGAAGTACTTGCACGGATCGCAGCTGATGGCCATCTTCACAAACGGCGTGGTGACAGAGATGGTGCCGGCCGTCGGTGAGGTCCAGATGACCCGTCGTCCCGAGTCACGAGACACCTGGACGTCGCCCCAGGGTGTCTGCTTGATGCGCACTCCTGCCACGATCCAGATCTCGTCCCCTCCACGAGTGGTTCTCTGCCTCGCTTGACTTACGACTTGGAAGCACTCGTTGAAGGTATCCATGCCCTGTTCAGAGTTGAAGTAAAACACGTTCATGGGTAGGTCGTAGCAAAGGTTTTGGAACCTTTCCGTCGTCGACTTGGTCCCCGAGGCATCCACCAAGTAAACAAGACCGTGGTTTAAGGCTGTGAACGTGACGCCCCTACCCGAAATTTTGGCCAACCTGTCTCCTGTGGCCATGTCCACTGTGAATCCTTCTTGGAGCACCCTGCCGCACGGATGGCACACGCAACTGCGGTCCCCCCAGCTGCTGATGGCAGCTGTGCAGTGCCTCTCAAAGTTCACTACTCGGACAGCTCTGTCTACTGTAATGTCGACGCGGATGCAGTGTCTCAGGATGACGGACACCGTGCCGTAGTTGGTGACCACCGGCCCATAGTAGACTTCTTGGAGCTCCCCCCAGAGGCTTGCCTCGACCAGAGGATCCAGCTGCGCGTCTCCGCAACCCTCTGCACTGACGACGTGTGGGGACGCGTCGTCTTCCACGGTCGCCACGTGAGGCTCACCGGTGCCCGCCTCGTCGTCAGCGGGTTCAGAAGGATAATCCCAGAATGGAGAAGCCTGCAAGTACCTGGCGTACTCGAGTTGCCGCATCACGTCCACGTCGTGCTCATGGTAGACGGACTCGTCTTGTAAGTGAAAGTCGACCGGCCCTGCGAATTCACCGAGAGGACAACTGGAAGGGTCAAATACGGTGCCCTGGTCATCCATGAACGACCCGAAAGGACCGAAGGGGAAATGGAGCTCCGGGAGGTCCGCGTAAGGCGGTGGAATGTAGAAGAATGGTGGTGTGATGGCGGGCCATGGCAGGACGCCGCCGCTGGTCGTTGTACCGTCATCCTCGTCGTCTTGGTCGTCGTCGTCGGCCTGATGGCGGTGCGAAGCCGCGTCTTGTTCAGCGTCAGAGTCTTGGGCCGCTTGCTGATCCTGGCCGTTGCTGCTGCTGCTACTGCGAGTGGTGTGACGCTGACGGGAGGCCATCGTGCTCCGATCACCGACGGGTCTCCGTTGCCTGCAACGGCGAGGGCTTCACTTAAGATTCCACTTGATTCATTTCCAAAGACACGTCTTTGCCATGCACATAATGATCGGCCAATCCTGCGCCAGATTAAAAAAAAAAAGGCAACAGTCATCGACGAGCATCTTCATCGATGTATGTTGGTTGGCTCTTCGCGTCGTCAGCATAATATAAGAAGAGTACCGTTTCTTAATGGCGTTATCTGACAGCAGTTGATCCGCTAATAGCTGGTATACCCAGAGTAAATCTGGGTTTTCTGACATATATCAGGGGTAGCTACAAACAGCAGATAATAAGCTCAAATATATAACAAAAGTCTGCAAGCAGCTTCTGCATTATAGCCCATTTTAAAACCCACATATTGATGGTTACTGATGCCAATCTTTCATCCGTTGATCATGCACTTATCGATAAGAGCGGCAGTTCTACGCTCCGTATATATTAAAGAAGTTATATCTACCGACAAAGATTGGCAGGGAGAGACTGATGAAACATCATGGCTAACCACTTACAAAAAAGGCATAAGTTAACAAAAGATCACAGCAGAAGCAGCGGTTCGGTCTCGTACCATCGGCAGAGGCTCATACTTTTTTTCGCGGCGAAAGCGCTTAGGGACACATTAAATAAAAGTATCACAGGAAGAGTATTTTGAGGGACATATACTTACTAGGCACGACGACAGTGTGATGAAGCCATGATGAAGCCGGTACTGCTAGCAACGGAGCAAGCTGTGCTTTTGCAAGCTCCCTGTAGAACGAAAGAACATCACGCGCGCCAAGTACCGGCAGAGAGAGCGCGGGCACGACGAAAGGTTATGATATCTATTGAACGCACACAAACACAAGACGACTAAAGATTTGGCCCCACCGTCAATGCTGGTTATACATCGCGGCCTGGAATAGTCAAATTCGAAGTAATGTTGTTTCGTGTGGACGTGACTTCCCATTCACTCGGCTGTGCATCAGTGCCGCGCCAAGTCAAAGAAGAGGAAGATCTTCGTGGGCAACGGTAGTAGCGGTAGACAGCAGGATTCGCCCAAACGTGGTACCATGCAAACATCCATCACTCCTTGCAAATGATGAAGTTGACCCATCGCGCCATCGCGCGTGCATAAACGGTTTGATTTAATTCGGCTTCAGCTTAAAATGTGTACACATGCTCTGCTGAACGACCCATTTTAAGCTAAGGACGTTCATCGGGTTAGGCCACCGAATAGTTGTAAACACCGATTGACTCTCCGCAATTATAATTACTTTTCTCTATTTCTCTACCTTTTGAACTCTACCCAAACAGAAACCATCCTACAACAAAGCCTAAAGGTAGCATCTCATGAATCCTTTAATCACTTTGACTCTATCGGTCGCTCCAGCACTCGGAGACAATCACGCGTGCGTTTTCTTGAACTTAGATTGTGTGCGAGACACTTCTATTATTATTGTCTCTTCTGCGTCAACGATTCTTTTTTTTTTTTTTTGTGAGGATGTGATATTAGGTTTTGCGATAAAGTGTGAAGTTATCTTCTATTTCAGCACAGCGCTCAGGAGATCGCTGCACTTGACGATACTTGGAGCGAAAGCTTGTGCTGCGGACTCCAAATCGTGATGAGTTCAAATCCGCTTCACGTTTCGTGTACGACAGCACCAGCTATTTTAGCCATTTTTACAAGTTACAAGTTGTTGAGATCAACGTTGCACAGTTCCTGTGCATGCGGACGACGAACAAGCGAACGTCGAGACGGTTGGCGCGCAATCCAAACCCTTTTCGCGCGTTCGAGCTGTCTGACCTGAAACCGAAGAAGCGTTGCTCTCCGGCCTCGGTTCGAGTCCATGGGAACAGACGTTACCGTCAGTGTGTTCTCATACGGCGTCTGCATTCCACGGGAACTCGAGACAATATCCAATCCTGAACGGATCTGGAGTCTGTTGTGTCCGCATCTGTTGTGTCTGCATCCCCCACTAGACGCCTTCAATTCTGAGAAGAACAACGACCGAGCGTCAACGCCGCAAGGAGGCTGCTGACGTCAAGGTCAGCTTCGGAAAGCTGAACTAACCGACCAATGGCACCGCAGCTACGGAATCCTGCCTTTTGTTATGTAAGTACCTATCCGCTGCCCATTGTGGGTGCTGCATTTTCCATTACGCTAAAAAAAGAACAACAACAACTAGATTTTTCGGTCCTCGTCTCCCGCCTCCACTTCGGACAACTATTTGTCCGAAGTGGAGGCGTTCACACTGAAGTGGCAACGAATTGCGTCACAGGAGTCGGCGTGTCATGCTGGTCGCGATCCTGGTGGTTGGTCGTAGAAATGCTGGCGAAAAGGGCGAACAGACGCAAGGGTCACTGTCGTCCCAGCTTCCCAGCTCCTGGCTGAATAAGCTTCCGTGAACTGTCTAATTGCAAAGCTACCTACAGCAGAATAGGCACCTGCTGCCTCCGCTGGTGTGCCACCGCCAAGATGTCGGCAGGCAAGATCATGACACTTTTATGACGTCATCAGGCGGAAATAGGGGGAGCAGTTTTGAGGACGTGATGAACACACCGGTAGGAGACGCGTTTTCAGAAGAAGTGAAGAGTGCGCATGCAACATCTTTGATGGTCGCTCAAGATGCGCATGCGCACGCGCACCCACAGACTGCATAGCTACAGAACGTTGTCCGCGGGTATGCGCCGCGAAGCTGAGGGAGCAGGAGACGAGAGCGCGAATGGACGTCAGAAAGCCGAGCTCTGGTTGGAATAAGTTTTATTTATTTTGCTCTCAAGGCCAAAGGCACTAAAGAAGGGAGCAGTGTTTTTTCTTCTATATAAACAGAGGAAAAATTACAAATGTTTACAGCAATAGGAGCAAAATATACATTAGTTAAACAGTGAAAGAACATGAACAATAATTCAGCAAAAGAAAACAAAGGATTAAAAAGTGCGGTAGAAAAATGCCATCCGTTTACAACTCCCTGTAACGCCGAATTAGAGCGCAGCTCTTGGGGAGGAGGAGGGAAGGGTACTGAGGGTTACTTGTCCTCGGGGGGGGGGGGGGGGGGGGGGGGTCACGTGACCTTGGGGGGGGGGGGTTCACGTGACCTCACGGTTACGCCGACGCCGCTCAAGCAGGAAACGGGCGCCTAAGAGCTGCGCTCTAAAGATAGCGGAATCGACAATTGGCGCAAGGGTGATTCCAGTCACTTGATTACTCTAGGAATGAGTGATGAGTAAAATGTCCTATAACGACAAAATGGGATTCCAACCTTATGACGATGATCAAGACGTGCTGAAGCAAATGATGGAGGATCTATTAGCTGATTTCTGAGCGCAGGGTTATGATGGAAGGTTTTGGGAAAGAGACAAAGGCTTGAGCCTTCTGTGGCGATGTCCGAGGCCGGCAAGATGTATAGCTAAGTTGATTGATGTTATACCAGCGGTGCGGTAATAGTTAGCCAATATGAGACATACGGATCTGTTCTGGACGGATTCAAGTGAGTCAATAAGGTCAGTAGTACCGGGATTTCAGATGGAGGCTGAATATTCAAGTTTCGAACGCACCAATGTTTTATAAAGAAAAAAAGAGCTTTAAAGATGAAGGAACTAAAGATACAAATTACGTTTGAGATAACCTAGCATGCGATCACGTGGCCTGAAAGTTGCGACTGGCGCTTCTAGTTCACTTATCTGCCTCCAAGTGACGTATTCACCTTCAACGTTTTCGCCGTGTGAAAATTCCCGCCAAAGCAAAATGTGTGCTATAGTAAGAGAAAAAAAAGTAACTTTAAAGATTAAAAAAAAATGAGGTAATGAGTGTCTTGCGGTTGCAACATACTGATAACTTTATGATTCTTCGTTTCCATTTCATGGCGATACTGTGATCCAAGAAAGAACATCGAAACTTCTAAACAGTTTCGCAGAAGTCATTGCACGCATTTCTATAGTTCTTGTATTTGACTTGGAGTGCGATATCGTTAGGTAACCTCACAGATAACTGTGTTATGTGAGTGAGTATAGGGCATAAAACGTGCGTATTATTACTGGTTGATTCCGTACAGGGCGTACCTAAGGATGGACAGTCAGCCTACGTATTTCAGGCATAGCATATGTATACAGTATTTTTACGCGTTGATTTATATCCACCTTCCGCCTAGTGCAATGTTAATTGTCACACACAGACACACAAAAAAACAAAAAAACTTTGATCTTAGAACAAACAAAAAAAACGTTTAATGAGGCAGATTGTGCCTACAAACATAAAGAGAAAGGTACCACTCATCTTGTGTTGGCGACGGAAAGGTGACTGACCCGAAGCAGCGCGTTATCGCTGCTTTCATGCACGCGGCGCGTTCAGGAATGTTCTGAACAAGAACACTCGCGATGAAAGTCGAGAAGGGGCTGGGATTTCTTAAGAGTACAAAAATTACTAAAAGTAAGGACCCGGGTCGCGAGGGATTCGAACCCCATTCCTCTGTGTGACAGCCGCATGCGTCAAAAGCGTACCGTCATGGTGTTCGCCATGTTTCTGTCCTGTCATCGGTTCCAGAAACAGAAAAGGCCCACTCCCCGCGCCTCGCCAGAGAACGTTTTGAGGACAACCCAGTTCTAAAGGCAGAATATAAATGTAGAGCCCTCGTGCCCATTGTGGTACTATGGCAAATACTTCAAAATGAATCCTTACTGAGTCAACCGGTCTCAAAGTGTGGTATATATGGTTCGGCCGTTTTTACGCATTCCTTCATCTTTTGGAATTCTGGCGCCCGCGCCCCGGCCAGGAACTTTCTTGAGTTCGACCGAGAGCTGCACTGGTCAATAAAAAAGCTCGAGGTACAACTAAGCGCTTTTTATGAGTTGTGAATGCGAAAGCATGCAAACCGCTCGTCCACTCCCTTTTTCGTCTGCTGCGTACTTTTCGTCACCGTCGGCGCGCGTGCTCCCCTGGGCACGCTGACCTTGGACGTTCCAACGGCGCGCTGATGGACATGCAGCG